TGTTGGAGTTGTTGATAAGCGGGGAAGAGGGAAGGGTTTTGGGTTAGTTGGAGGAGGAGTTGTTGTTTATATTCTTGTTCTTTGGACTGGAAGTAAGATTGAAGATGGGCGATAGTGAAGTGATTGTTGTCGAAATCTTGGGAAGTGAGGAGAGTGTGACAGTGGGGGCAAGTGAGGGAAAAAGTAAACTGGTTGGAATTTGGAAAAATAGTTTTATTTTCGGGCTTTTCCGGTTGGTAAGTGGTTTCTTTTTGATTATTTTGGTTAGTCATATTAAAGTAATTTTATCGTTAACCCCTCTTTTTCCCTAAATTCTTGTTACTCCTTTCCTTGGCTAAGGCTTCTTTTTCGGCTCTCCGCTGGGCTTTGAGTTCTTTGGCTTTTCGACTGGCTTCTTCGCCATGTTTCCGACATTCTTCCTCTTTTTGACGGTTTAGTAAGCATTTTTCACAATTAGCAATCCGACATTCACCATATTTTTTGATTTCTTCTCGGTGAGCCTGCTTGATTTTACTCATTTGGGCTTTGTCCCAACAAGGGTTATGACAAATTCTTTTTCCTTCTTGGATTTCTAAGGCTTGCTGGCAGTAAGGGCAGAAATTTATTTCGGCTGCCGTAGTATAAATTTTACCGGTTTCATCATACTTGGCAAAACTTAATCGAACGGCTTTATAGTATTGACTTTTGTTGGGATAATTTTCTATTTTTAGGTTCATAGTTATAAATTTAGAATAGAAGTAATCATTTATTAATCAAGCAATAAGATATTTAATTTTTTAATGGAAATAACTCTACCTATCCAAAAACACCCCAAAAATTATTGAATGACCTCGCTCAAATCAAGCAAGTATCTAAGTCAGACTTAAAAGCATTCTTAGCACAAGACCACACTTCCTTTTCCGTCCTGTCAGTCTCCACCAAACACAATAACTAAAACCTCCATTCCATTTACCTCTTCTCTTAAAACTAATAATCTAATAAACCAAGTCCACAATATACTTTATAATAATCTCTTTAATCCTTATGAATACTAATAATATCTTGTTTATAGTATTGCAACAAAGAATTCGTAAATTATTTAACTTTACTTTTGCTAATTTCTTCTTTTAAATCGGTGCTAAACTTAATCTTGGACACTCTTTTGGCTGGAACCGTCATTTTTTTCTTAGTCTGTAAATTCATGGCTACGCGGGGTTTGGTAATCGCAGTTTTGAGAGTAAAATAACCTTGTAATCTGATTTCTTCACCTTTGATTAAAGATTTTTTGGTTTCTTCTAAGAGAGAACTGATGATGGTTTCAATCTGATTCTTAGGAAATTTGGTCTTTTTAGATATTTTTTCGGTTAGCTGTTTCTTACCGGTGATGATAGTTTTTGACATACTACTTTTTTAATAATTATTTTCCGCTTTTTGCTTGCTTTTTGGATTGCTTAGTAATTATCAGTTATTAAAAAAGCGGACAAAAATTTTAAAAATAGTAATATGATTTATTTTTTATTAGTCTTTTAACTTCCCAAGGACAATTTAGGCATGATGAAAATTGACCTATTTTTTAGGCGGAATTTCTACTTGACTTATCTGGTGGGTTTGTTGGTATTCACTTCTTAATTGCTCATAATTATTCTCATTTAAGGTTTGTTCCGGAGTTAATTTCTTATTTTCTTTTAATCAAAGCACAAATTCGCAGTCTTGGGCTGGATTAAGGGTCGGAATAACCTGCGACCATTCTTTTACTTCCGCTCAAGTAAAATATTGAGTTCAAAGGTCTTTGAAGAGCGAATTATTAAACTCCGGATGAAGTGAACTCCAATCCTCAATACTTTCTTCCAAGTCGAGATTAGCAAAGTCATAGGGTAGAGATGACGAGTATAATTCATAAAATTTCTCATTAATTTCTTGGGAATTCTGAGGTTCAGGCAGATTATCAGTCTCCAGCAGCCGACTAGTATAAGTTTGCGGGTGAGCTTGATAGTCCAGGGATATCTTATCGGTGGTGGAAATTAAGGTTTGGTTAAGTTCTTCGGTTTCAAGATATTGGCGATAAAATTCAGTATCCTTTTTCCCCTTAATTTCATTTTGTCAAATGTTTATAATCTTAAATAATTTGCTGGCAGTTGGCCGTTGCGAAGGATCTGCATCTAAGCATTTTTTAATTAAATCCTCCAATAATTTTGGCACTCGGATATTAGTAAAGTTAGGACGAAGTCCTTGACATATTTTATAAGCTAACTGGTGGTCATAAGTAAGTTCGTGATAGGGAGGACGACCCGAAAATAGCTCATAAGCCACGATGCCTAACGAATAAATATCCGCCGCTTGGGTATAAATTTTACCTTGCAATACTTCCGGAGCGACGTAAGGTAGCACACCGTAGATTTTTTCCTCTTTATTAGTTTCATTAACTGGCCGACATAAGCCTAAATCAGTAATCAAGCAGACATCACTATTGGAAATTAAGATATTACCCGGATGAAAATCCCGGTGAATTAAACCTTGCCGATGAATATTATTTAACCCCTTGGTTAGGTGAAATAATTGTCCCAATTTATTATAAAAATCGAGTTTTTGGTAATATTTAGTTAAATATTTTCGTAAATCACCATTTTTTATATAGTCCATCACCATAATGTACTCCTTCGTGGCCGGATCTTGGGAAATACCAAAACATTTGACTACTCCGTCATAATCATCTTTGAAGAGTTTATAATAGGCTACCTCCTGCAAAAAATCCGCGGTGATATCTTGGGAGTCATTTAAACTTTTTAAAATAACTCCATCTGGATAAAACTTATCTCTTTCTCAGTTATTTTCTTTGATATTTCAATGACTAATTTGTCGGTCAACTCATTCGGCTACTTTGTAAACTTTGCCAAAGCCCCCGGAGGCTAAAAATACAATATCCCGAAATTTTTCATAAGGAATTCATTCTAACACTCCGTATTTATTAATGGCGGTCAGTTGGTATCTTTGGATAAATTCGTCCACGGCGAGATTACCGCCACTTCAATTTTTAAAGTCCTGAGCAAAATGGCGGGCACTACACGCTTTACACCACCGATATCAGGTATTAGTTTGATTACATTCCTGACATAATCCAAAAGCTTTATATCTTTCTTTTAGTTCCATTTTATTTAGCACTTCGATGCTGGCTGGCTTGTAAATTTGGTTGCATTTGGCTAGATGGTCAATTAATATTTTCCTTGAAACCTCACGCGAATCTTTAGATATTTTTTTATAGCGACCTTTTAGCGGTGGATTATCAACATGAATGATTTTATTACATGACTCAATCATTTCAGTAATTGCTTTATTATTTTCCACCAGTAATGATTGAATATCTTTCTTACATTCTTCTTCATTCTCAAATTCCGCAAAATTAGTTCGCACAATAGAAGTATATTTAGTAATGTTTTCATCAAAAAGTATTTCTTTTAATGTATTATAAGTCTCTACTTCCTCGGGAGTAAATTTTCCGTTATTTACAAAAAAAATTTGATTTAATCCATCTTTAACTTTATCATATACTTTGGCTATCTCTTGGAGAGTTTCAATTTTTGATAAACGAGTATCGCCTAGACCTGGCGTGTCAATTATTCGATACTTTATTCCGTTTATTTCAAACAATTTATCACTTATTTTTCTGGTTTCGCTGGCACTGCCATGGCCTTCTTTAAAAACTTCTTCAAATTCGCCCTCTTTATTAACCAGCACATTAGCCAACGTGGACTTGCCATTACCAGTTCTCCCAATTAAAAGGATATTCCGATACAAACTTGCTTCTGGCTTCCTAAACTCTTTATCACTGGTATCTCGCTGAGCAAGATAATTTCGATATTCTTTCCTTAATTCTTGTTCGTCGCCATATTTTAAATAGTTTGACACTCATTCAATATCCTTACCTTTAATATCCCTTAGCCAATAGGCATATTCGGAATCACTCGCTCGCAAGCCAGCACTAATTCATCATCCGGTTTGCTCATAACTAAACCCACGATTTTCTCATTCTTTTTGTAATTCGGCAGTGAATTCACCGCATATATTTTTCCAATCTTTCATATTTTTTGAATATTTATTATTAAGTTTAACCCTGAATAATTTCTCTATAAACTAATTTTATAACCTAGACAAGTTAAAGTGCTTAAATAACTAGTAAACTTCCCTATATCCATCTTGGCTTTTTTATCTGGGTTGTTTTACACTCATTCATATTTTCATATTCTACTTTCAAAACTTTTTCAACTCCTTAATCTCCTCAGACTTCTCAATAAGTTTAATAAGTTTCTCAGTAATCTTATCATGTGCTTTACCATGTCCGCCATTAATCTCTTGGGTCTCTGGTTGAGTATCAGTTAAAATAGTATGTCCTAACTCATGAGCCAATACTCTAATTAAGTTATCCAAGTTAAACAACGCGGTAAACTCAGCTGGGTCGAGGTAATAAACCTGTAAGCCTATTAGGTCGGTTTTAAAAACTAATTTGTGAATATAAAAAATTCATAAAACAGTTATATGGTAAATGCCCAAGAATGGTTAGAAAGTCAAGAAGAATGTAATACAAAGGAAAAAAGAGCAAAAGTAACTTGGTTAAGTATTGGAGGAAAAGATCTCCAAGGTTCTCTCGACTTAACTGATTTTATTAACTTAACTAAACTTAATTGTGGTTATAATGAACTTACCAAATTAAACTTAACTGGTTTGGCAAAGTTAACTAGGTTAGATATTAGTGATAACAATTTTCCTAAACAAGATTTATCAGTTTTTAGTAAGTTGGTTAATTTAGAAACTTTACGAATTGGTAATAATTATAAGTGGCAAATTAACCAAGGAATTTATAATCGTTTTACTGGCAGTTTAGAACCTTTAAAAAATCTAACTAAATTAAAATATTTAAACATTTCTAATACAGACATAAATAGCGGTTTAGAATATTTACCTGTTAGTATTAAAAAAATTGAGTGTTCTAGTGAAGAAAGACCCGCCAGTAAAGTTAAAGAAATTGCTGAACAACTAAAATGAATAGGTAAAGGTTTTAGTGGTCAACAATTAAAATCTTGAATAAATATTGGTTTACAATTTAATGATTATAATTTTGTTCTTTATCTAACTAAACAAGGTTATACCCCTCAATCAGAAATTGATTTAGAGGGATTAAGAAAAGAATATTATGATAAAAGCCAAAAGAGCCAAGCATGATTAGATAAGAAGTATCCGAAAGAAGGATGGAAAGAAAAATGAACTGATTATGGCGAAAGAAAAGAATGAAGAACAAGAAGTAAAGTATGAGAAATCTATCTCACTGAACCAGGTTTAGAGGGGGAATTGGATTTGGGAGATTTTACTTATGAATATTTAAAAATATACATTTCTCCCCAAGTAGATGAACGAAGTCCTGGCACTTTTGATAAAGGGTTAGAAACCAAACTAATTTTTAAAAACTTGCCTGAAAAGGCTGAGATTAATCTAATCAATGCCCAAAGGTATATTAATTATTATTATCCTACTAAATTAACCGCCCCAGATAAAAAAGATAAGTCGCTGGTGAAGTTATTATTTCTTAAATTTAATCATTTTAAATTAGTAGGATTATTAGGTAAAGTGAGATTGGTTAGTTGATTATGAAAGCAAACTAATTCTTCTAACCGATTACAGTTGCTCAAATTGAGGGAGGTTAGTTGATTTCTAGAACACTTAATCACCTCTAATTGATCACAACTACTTAAATTGAGGGAGGTTAGTTTATTATTTTCACAATTTAATTCTTTCAAATTGATAAAATCGGAGAGGTCAAGATTGCTTTCGAGATTTTTATCTTTAATATCCAATTTAGTTACTTTTTCTCTTGCTTCTTTAGTAGGATAATAATAATTAATATACCTTTGGGCATTGATTAGATTAATCTCAGCCTTTTCAGGCAAGTTTTTAAAAATTAGTTTGGTTTCTAACCCTTTATCAAAAGTGCCAGGACTTCGTTCATCTACTTGGGGAGAAATGTATATTTTTAAATATTCATAAGTAAAATCTCCCAAATCCAATTCCCCCTCTAAACCTGGTTCAGTGAGATAGATTTCTCATACTTTACTTCTTGTTCTTCATTCTTTTCTTTCGCCATAATCAGTTCATTTTTCTTTCCATCCTTCTTTCGGATACTTCTTATCTAATCATGCTTGGCTCTTTTGGCTTTTATCATAATATTCTTTTCTTAATCCCTCTAAATCAATTTCTGATTGAGGGGTATAACCTTGTTTAGTTAGATAAAGAACAAAATTATAATCATTAAATTGTAAACCAATATTTATTCAAGATTTTAATTGTTGACCACTAAAACCTTTACCTATTCATTTTAGTTGTTCAGCAATTTCTTTAACTTTACTGGCGGGTCTTTCTTCACTAGAACACTCAATTTTTTTAATACTAACAGGTAAATATTCTAAACCGCTATTTATGTCTGTATTAGAAATGTTTAAATATTTTAATTTAGTTAGATTTTTTAAAGGTTCTAAACTGCCAGTAAAACGATTATAAATTCCTTGGTTAATTTGCCACTTATAATTATTACCAATTCGTAAAGTTTCTAAATTAACCAACTTACTAAAAACTGATAAATCTTGTTTAGGAAAATTGTTATCACTAATATCTAACCTAGTTAACTTTGCCAAACCAGTTAAGTTTAATTTGGTAAGTTCATTATAACCACAATTAAGTTTAGTTAAGTTAATAAAATCAGTTAAGTCGAGAGAACCTTGGAGATCTTTTCCTCCAATACTTAACCAAGTTACTTTTGCTCTTTTTTCCTTTGTATTACATTCTTCTTGACTTTCTAACCATTCTTGGGCATTTACCATATAACTGTTTTATGAATTTTTTATATTCACAAATTAGTTTTTAAAACCGACCTAATAGGCTTACAGGTTTATTACCTCGACCCAGCTGAGTTTACCGCGTTGTTTAACTTGGATAACTTAATTAGAGTATTGGCTCATGAGTTAGGACATACTATTTTAACTGATACTCAACCAGAGACCCAAGAGATTAATGGCGGACATGGTAAAGCACATGATAAGATTACTGAGAAACTTATTAAACTTATTGAGAAGTCTGAGGAGATTAAGGAGTTGAAAAAGTTTTGAAAGTAGAATATGAAAATATGAATGAGTGTAAAACAACCCAGATAAAAAAGCCAAGATGGATATAGGGAAGTTTACTAGTTATTTAAGCACTTTAACTTGTCTAGGTTATAAAATTAGTTTATAGAGAAATTATTCAGGGTTAAACTTAATAATAAATATTCAAAAAATATGAAAGATTGGAAAAATATATGCGGTGAATTCACTGCCGAATTACAAAAAGAATGAGAAAATCGTGGGTTTAGTTATGAGCAAACCGGATGATGAATTAGTGCTGGCTTGCGAGCGAGTGATTCCGAATATGCCTATTGGCTAAGGGATATTAAAGGTAAGGATATTGAATGAGTGTCAAACTATTTAAAATATGGCGACGAACAAGAATTAAGGAAAGAATATCGAAATTATCTTGCTCAGCGAGATACCAGTGATAAAGAGTTTAGGAAGCCAGAAGCAAGTTTGTATCGGAATATCCTTTTAATTGGGAGAACTGGTAATGGCAAGTCCACGTTGGCTAATGTGCTGGTTAATAAAGAGGGCGAATTTGAAGAAGTTTTTAAAGAAGGCCATGGCAGTGCCAGCGAAACCAGAAAAATAAGTGATAAATTGTTTGAAATAAACGGAATAAAGTATCGAATAATTGACACGCCAGGTCTAGGCGATACTCGTTTATCAAAAATTGAAACTCTCCAAGAGATAGCCAAAGTATATGATAAAGTTAAAGATGGATTAAATCAAATTTTTTTTGTAAATAACGGAAAATTTACTCCCGAGGAAGTAGAGACTTATAATACATTAAAAGAAATACTTTTTGATGAAAACATTACTAAATATACTTCTATTGTGCGAACTAATTTTGCGGAATTTGAGAATGAAGAAGAATGTAAGAAAGATATTCAATCATTACTGGTGGAAAATAATAAAGCAATTACTGAAATGATTGAGTCATGTAATAAAATCATTCATGTTGATAATCCACCGCTAAAAGGTCGCTATAAAAAAATATCTAAAGATTCGCGTGAGGTTTCAAGGAAAATATTAATTGACCATCTAGCCAAATGCAACCAAATTTACAAGCCAGCCAGCATCGAAGTGCTAAATAAAATGGAACTAAAAGAAAGATATAAAGCTTTTGGATTATGTCAGGAATGTAATCAAACTAATACCTGATATCGGTGGTGTAAAGCGTGTAGTGCCCGCCATTTTGCTCAGGACTTTAAAAATTGAAGTGGCGGTAATCTCGCCGTGGACGAATTTATCCAAAGATACCAACTGACCGCCATTAATAAATACGGAGTGTTAGAATGAATTCCTTATGAAAAATTTCGGGATATTGTATTTTTAGCCTCCGGGGGCTTTGGCAAAGTTTACAAAGTAGCCGAATGAGTTGACCGACAAATTAGTCATTGAAATATCAAAGAAAATAACTGAGAAAGAGATAAGTTTTATCCAGATGGAGTTATTTTAAAAAGTTTAAATGACTCCCAAGATATCACCGCGGATTTTTTGCAGGAGGTAGCCTATTATAAACTCTTCAAAGATGATTATGACGGAGTAGTCAAATGTTTTGGTATTTCCCAAGATCCGGCCACGAAGGAGTACATTATGGTGATGGACTATATAAAAAATGGTGATTTACGAAAATATTTAACTAAATATTACCAAAAACTCGATTTTTATAATAAATTGGGACAATTATTTCACCTAACCAAGGGGTTAAATAATATTCATCGGCAAGGTTTAATTCACCGGGATTTTCATCCGGGTAATATCTTAATTTCCAATAGTGATGTCTGCTTGATTACTGATTTAGGCTTATGTCGGCCAGTTAATGAAACTAATAAAGAGGAAAAAATCTACGGTGTGCTACCTTACGTCGCTCCGGAAGTATTGCAAGGTAAAATTTATACCCAAGCGGCGGATATTTATTCGTTAGGCATCGTGGCTTATGAGCTATTTTCGGGTCGTCCTCCCTATCACGAACTTACTTATGACCACCAGTTAGCTTATAAAATATGTCAAGGACTTCGTCCTAACTTTACTAATATCCGAGTGCCAAAATTATTGGAGGATTTAATTAAAAAATGCTTAGATGCAGATCCTTCGCAACGGCCAACTGCCAGCAAATTATTTAAGATTATAAACATTTGACAAAATGAAATTAAGGGGAAAAAGGATACTGAATTTTATCGCCAATATCTTGAAACCGAAGAACTTAACCAAACCTTAATTTCCACCACCGATAAGATATCCCTGGACTATCAAGCTCACCCGCAAACTTATACTAGTCGGCTGCTGGAGACTGATAATCTGCCTGAACCTCAGAATTCCCAAGAAATTAATGAGAAATTTTATGAATTATACTCGTCATCTCTACCCTATGACTTTGCTAATCTCGACTTGGAAGAAAGTATTGAGGATTGGAGTTCACTTCATCCGGAGTTTAATAATTCGCTCTTCAAAGACCTTTGAACTCAATATTTTACTTGAGCGGAAGTAAAAGAATGGTCGCAGGTTATTCCGACCCTTAATCCAGCCCAAGACTGCGAATTTGTGCTTTGATTAAAAGAAAATAAGAAATTAACTCCGGAACAAACCTTAAATGAGAATAATTATGAGCAATTAAGAAGTGAATACCAACAAACCCACCAGATAAGTCAAGTAGAAATTCCGCCTAAAAAATAGGTCAATTTTCATCATGCCTAAATTGTCCTTGGGAAGTTAAAAGACTAATAAAAAATAAATCATATTACTATTTTTAAAATTTTTGTCCGCTTTTTTAATAACTGATAATTACTAAGCAATCCAAAAAGCAAGCAAAAAGCGGAAAATAATTATTAAAAAAGTAGTATGTCAAAAACTATCATCACCGGTAAGAAACAGCTAACCGAAAAAATATCTAAAAAGACCAAATTTCCTAAGAATCAGATTGAAACCATCATCAGTTCTCTCTTAGAAGAAACCAAAAAATCTTTAATCAAAGGTGAAGAAATCAGATTACAAGGTTATTTTACTCTCAAAACTGCGATTACCAAACCCCGCGTAGCCATGAATTTACAGACTAAGAAAAAAATGACGGTTCCAGCCAAAAGAGTGTCCAAGATTAAGTTTAGCACCGATTTAAAAGAAGAAATTAGCAAAAGTAAAGTTAAATAATTTACGAATTCTTTGTTGCAATACTATAAACAAGATATTATTAGTATTCATAAGGATTAAAGAGATTATTATAAAGTATATTGTGGACTTGGTTTATTAGATTATTAGTTTTAAGAGAAGAGGTAAATGGAATGGAGGTTTTAGTTATTGTGTTTGGTGGAGACTGACAGGACGGAAAAGGAAGTGTGGTCTTGTGCTAAGAATGCTTTTAAGTCTGACTTAGATACTTGCTTGATTTGAGCGAGGTCATTCAATAATTTTTGGGGTGTTTTTGGATAGGTAGAGTTATTTCCATTAAAAAATTAAATATCTTATTGCTTGATTAATAAATGATTACTTCTATTCTAAATTTATAACTATGAACCTAAAAATAGAAAATTATCCCAACAAAAGTCAATACTATAAAGCCGTTCGATTAAGTTTTGCCAAGTATGATGAAACCGGTAAAATTTATACTACGGCAGCCGAAATAAATTTCTGCCCTTACTGCCAGCAAGCCTTAGAAATCCAAGAAGGAAAAAGAATTTGTCATAACCCTTGTTGGGACAAAGCCCAAATGAGTAAAATCAAGCAGGCTCACCGAGAAGAAATCAAAAAATATGGTGAATGTCGGATTGCTAATTGTGAAAAATGCTTACTAAACCGTCAAAAAGAGGAAGAATGTCGGAAACATGGCGAAGAAGCCAGTCGAAAAGCCAAAGAACTCAAAGCCCAGCGGAGAGCCGAAAAAGAAGCCTTAGCCAAGGAAAGGAGTAACAAGAATTTAGGGAAAAAGAGGGGTTAACGATAAAATTACTTTAATATGACTAACCAAAATAATCAAAAAGAAACCACTTACCAACCGGAAAAGCCCGAAAATAAAACTATTTTTCCAAATTCCAACCAGTTTACTTTTTCCCTCACTTGCCCCCACTGTCACACTCTCCTCACTTCCCAAGATTTCGACAACAATCACTTCACTATCGCCCATCTTCAATCTTACTTCCAGTCCAAAGAACAAGAATATAAACAACAACTCCTCCTCCAACTAACCCAAAACCCTTCCCTCTTCCCCGCTTATCAACAACTCCAACA